TGAATTCCAGTTGAATCCATTACATTCACTTACGTGCTAATACCCTTGGGAAAGATATGAATCCTCTTCTTCTCATAAGGACAGACCAGATTCTATAGCCTTGGATGGCAACTGGTCTACAGCAGAAAGAAATGGAAGCCTATTGTGGGAAAAAATCTGCCTCGTCAGTCATGTATTGAAAGATACATGATCGCCTAACCGTGTATCCCGCATGGCACATAAGTGACTGATATAGTAAATAAATCCTATTTTCAACACAATTACATACCCACATACATACCATATTAAAACATACCCTAACTTTATTTTCTACCTAATAGCAGACAGTATTACAAACATGCCTGAAAATATTCCACAACAAATGCAGTTTAAATCAAAATATCTATTGGTTAGAAATTAACATCACCATGTGAAATAATAGTCCAATCAAAAAACAAAAACCCTATTTTCAGGAAACATTTCTTATAAAAACCTACAGATTTCAACTTTCATGGAGCAGAGATGTGGCTGTCTCTAAACAGAACATAAGGGAGAGATTGGTGGAGTCAGTCTACCCAGATTTTAGGTGGAAAAATAAAATCAGAGTGTCTTGTCCACAAATACAACACAATATTATAGACAATGTGAAAAAATGATCTTTGCAGAAAAGGAAGCAGACCAAGCTAAATATGACAGTAACATTTATACAGATACATATATTTACATATTAAATGATATATGATAGTAACATTTATACAATCAGATGCATGTATTTATATATTAAAATTGTTAATGTTGTGGCCATGAAGAGACCAATAGTTTGTTTAAAATGATTTGACACAAGAAGCTTGTAAATTTTGAAGTTATTTTGTTGCAAGTGAGGAAACAAGTGGTATGGTGTGTGTGTGCATGTGTGTGTGTGTCAGTGTGTGTGTGAAAAAAACGCTAATCAAACATGGATGTGACTGCTGACTGATTGTGTGCAGTAGCAGTAATTTTAAATATGATGAACAAAAAGAGAGAAGGGACAAGACTTATTTCTGTCACAGCTTTGTACGTTTTTCAGTGTAGAAAAATCATCGCTGACTGACATGTTGTTGTAGTAACATGTGTTTATGCTGTTGATCAAGACATGGCCTGGTTCACTGTCTTTCACAAATCTAGTCACTGACTTTTTTTTGCTGACTGATTTTGTTCCTGACAAGCCATTTTTATTGCTATAGGTTGGCTCCGAATCACTATCTGAGTTTTACGAGGGAATGTACTCAATACCCCAGGTCATTTGGAGTTCAACCACATGGACAGCATAGAAAGCACATGATGTGACTTGTCCTATCCAATCAGGTTCCAGAAACTACTTATTTAATTTTGAGCTCTGTTTGTACAGAATTGTAAAAAAGTTTTCATATGTATTGAATTTAGGAAGATTTATTTGTAGCCATCTATTACTTGTTTGTGCTTCACTTATTGGTGGTAAAATATGGGAGTTTATATCCTATATATGTGATTGTTTCCCTGCAGTGTGTACTGGAAAAACCATATGTCAGTGACTTCAAATGAATTAGCTGCAACAACAACAGCTTGGACTGTCAGTGAATCTTCACTGATGATTATATGTCAGCATATCTCTTTTCTCAAATGTAGCTTTTTATGGTGGACCAACTACCCAAAGACTTTAACTCAATGAAAGATTATTTTTAATCATTTTTGACTCTTTTGAATTAAATGTATATATATTTGTAAATCCAAATGATTTATTTAATAGGCATAGACATGTTTTCTTTATTTTTATTTTGTTTGGAATTATGACGTTCGGATTTTTAATATAAAAACCGGAACGACTGAGATTCCTATGAGTAGATACCTGTTGGAGAATGAACACTTGTTTGAAATTCTGCAAGGCATACAACTACTCATCACTCAGTGAGATTTTTTTTAAAAAGTAGCACTTTAAATCATTTCTAAGTAAATAACACAAAATAATTAATGTTGCAATAATTTATCTTTCAATGAGATTTTATCACACACACACAAATCATTAAAAGACTGATGAATTTCGAGCTGTATATTTTCTAGCGGGAAAAATTGAGGCCGCTTTAGTAATAATAGATTGACTTCCTCTTTCCTTAAGAGTACAAATCTACTGATTGGTGTTACTGTTAATAAATACCGGGTTTAATTTAATTAGCACTTCTAGCAAAACAACTAACTCCTGTCCGTCAGGCTGCTCTTGTTGCAAGGAGAGAGTGACAAGAGAATCTGTCACAGAGCTATTTAGCAATAAGCAAATTAATAAAGAAAGATTGTTATTCGCCAGCGTTGTGAAGTGTTCTCACTGTCCAAATGTGACACGATGTCAGATTAAGGAAGCTAATCTTTGTAACCTATCTGTGACAAGCATGTTCTTAAAATAATAAGCTAAGCATAATTGAAATCTGTCAACCCCCACCCGCCAAAAACAATACTGTCCTTGCGCCCCAACTTTTTTTTTTACCTTAAAAGTAAAACTTTACTTTAAAAAGTGACCACAAGTACCAGTATGCAACCGTGCCTTTGCAATGGAAATTAAATCCTGTGTATTTCTTTTTAGCTTTGATCTTGCCGTCCATAAAAGATGAAAAAAAAAAAGATCGATTGCATTTAAAGTTGAGTCAATCAATATCATTTTTATGACTTATGATCAGCATAAAACTCGGAGGTCTCTCACTTCTAAGCGATTACTGCTTTTAAACGATTTTTTTTAATTAATTAAGCTAAAAATCCACTTGGGCATGACTCTCTACTTTATTTGTGGTTGGAAGTCCTTTCTTTGCTGATTATTTTGCGACAATTTTAGATTTTTTAAAAATCCTAATTAAAGCAATTATGAATTGGAGATTATTACCTGTTGAACCTAAAAAAAACTTATTATTTACCGTATTTTTTCTTGTAAATGACGTACAATTAAAAAAACTATACTTAAAAAATGTTTTATAAATCATCATTTTTTTTAAAAAACAAAAAATTATGTACTCTACTCATTATAACCACCAGTTGAAAAATTACTTTACCTTTTCTTAGCGATATATTTTTATTTAGTAGAACAATATTAAAAACTGAAAAAAGTTAATATGACGGTCAACTCAATGCCAAGTGAATAAAAAGTTTTTAAATGAAAGCAAAACAAAAAAAAATTCTTTTTTTAAAATTTTTACTTTTAAAAAGATAAAAATAACACTTATCCCAAACAACTTGTAGCTACTTAAAGGGACGATCATATTTGTAACAGACGTAAGTAACAGTTGTTTGCTACACTTTAACAACTTATACAATTTTAGAGCTTATGATTCAAATTCATTATTACTTAAAATAACAACGACGACTACTACAACAGTTGGAAGACACCATAATAACTATTTCTTTTCATTATTTTCTACTCTCACCACTACCACAGTAACCGCCCTTACTCCTCCTACCATCACTGCTAGTGATGACTTCTACTATGACTACTATCTCTATATCTCTCTCTCTTATTCTCTCTCTCTCTCTCTCTTATTCTCTCTCTATCTTTGTATTTTCCTCTTCCCACTGCTTGGCTCAATTCAACTTGAGTGTTTATTGCGCCTCTTCAGATCTAGGACTACTTCTCCCACCACAGTCCATTCGTCTACTCCCACCACCAACACACGCACTCCCTCCTCCTTCGATAGGCACCGGCACGAACACCAACTCTACAAGAGAGTAGAGCAAAATTTATCAACACCGACTTTTTCTTCTCTTTCTAGGCGGTTTGGACTTCACTTGACATCTTTTCTTTTTCTTTCCTTTTTCTTTTTTTTAAAAATTTAATGCGAAGTTTAATTCTGCAAATCCTTTTATAAAAAAAAGGAAAAAGTATTTCGGGGATCCACTGATAAAAAATTGTTTTTGATTAAGTTAAATTTTTTGGATTTTACAGTCACATTTCTCCACTCTCCGGCAACGGGATTATCAGGAACAAGTACCTGCTCCAAATTTTGTTTTTGTCGGTCTCTACGCTTTTCTTTTTTCATCCCATCTTAAAGGAAAATAACAGAAGTGTGTATAGATTTTCCTTAAATCCAAACTGTGGAATATATATGTCTTGGCGGAAATATGATCAACTACCATTACCAAGGATCTATACTACGACACATTGGTCTACCTTTTCTGAATTTGATCTCTTCATCTTTACGTTCACCATCGAGTTGTCTTGTTGTTGTTGCTCTTAATAATACTTAGTAGTAGTAGTAGTAGCAGCAGCAGTCAGCTTTTTCTCTGCTACTTAAACCCGTTTATTCTATTTTATTAATCTTTCTATATTGTTATATATTTAAATAATATAATCCCCCACCCAAACAAACAGCTTTGGAAGTTAAAAGTATTTTGTCGACTTCTTGCATTGCTTTCCTTAGCAACAAGTATCCGTTTTGAAACCGAAAAAAATCTCTTATTTTGGCTATTTTTATAATAAATAAATAAAAAACACCAGAGACCATTATTGATATATTTCTTTAAAGTTTATTTTTTTGATCTATACTAGATCATAAATGTTAAAAGCACATTTATAATTTAGAGAAAAGGTTTTAAAATCTTTTTCCTTCAAAACAAAATAAACAACACACTACAAAACCACTACATTTGTTTAGTTTTCTTATCATCCAGGTGTAAAATCTTTACACATTAAGTAAATCCATCCACTAATATATATATATATATATATATATATATATATATATATATATATATTATATATAAGAAAAAAAGTTTGTGTGTGCTTACAGATGAGGTATATTAAAAACAACAACAACAAAAAAACTGAAAAAAATCTAGGCTACCAGTGAAAAACAAGAAAGCACGCACCTCTCATGCATGCTTGTTTATTTGTTAATAGGTACTCATGTTATTAACTAAATGAATCGGTATATATTATTTATATATTTTGATGATATGTAAATAAATATATATTTAATTTTTTCCTCCTGACGATGAACAAAATGGATTCTGTATTGTATTCTGGGTGGATGGTAAAGTCACCTCCTCACCAAGATCAACCCAAGAAGTTAGCGACCTGGAAACTATTTCAACCAGTAAGTTAATAATATTTATTTTAAACGATTGTGATTTTTTTTTTTTTTTTTATATCATCACACAAGATTTCTTTCACATTTTTTTGGCCATTAGTCGCCAATGATCACACTTCTTTTCTGTGTACATGTGACAAAAGTTTTTACTTTTTATTCTTTTTCTAGTACTTTGAAACTTAATGTTACGTTGTTTTCAAGTTATCATTATTTATTGAAAATATTTTTTGCAAGGTTATTTAAGTATTTTTGCTACAGTTTTTTATGGGTATATATAGTTTATGCTTAAAGTTAAACAGTTGTCAGTATGTATTTTTATTCTAAACTTTATTTTATTTTTTTTTTAAATCAACCTCATAATTTACTTTTTAGTTTTATGGAGAGAGGGAGAGAAAAAAAAATTAACTTTTTGCTTTTAATTTTTTCCCTCTTTTTAGAAAAATAATCAAAATTAAACTTATTCAACAAATCAAAAGTTTAACTTTGTTTCTGAACTCTAAGTTTAATTGTTTGTTTTTTTTTTTTTTTTTTTCGGGAAATTCAGAAATATTTATAATGGCAGTTTATTTTCTAGTTTTAGTCTTTATTTCCAGACAAAAGTTACTAGCGTATCCTAGGATTTTAAGACATGAAGCTTGTTTGTTTGTGACTAAGATACTAGTGTAACTACTGTACTCTTAAAGACTAAAAAAGTAAAAAGCAAATTGTTTCTACTAAGTAACCACCAACAACGTGACTTGGATGTTCCCTAATTTTAGTTAGAAGAATTCTACAATTTTCCTATTAATACTAACCGTATTATAATCTTTTGCTTTACTTTTTTCTTTTGAAGCATTATGGTTAACGAAACTTAGTGCTATAATTGATTGGCTAAATTTTTTAGTCTAATTTGATTTTCCAGTTAAATTTTGATGAATTTAAACTAAAGTTTAAGTACTTAATTTTTTTTGTGTGTACTGATAAATAAATCTTTCGGCTTGTGTTAAATTTAATATGCCACAAATTCGTGGCTTTTAGTTAAGCCTTTTTTTTTTAAAGGCAAGTTTTAAAGTTTAACTATAATTTCGTTTATGGCGTTCCATACTAAAGAAATTTCTTAATTTTTAAAATATAACGTCGCCAGTCTGTTTTATCGGAAAAAGATAAATTAAGAAATTGTTCTGACTTTAAACTAGTTTTTACACTTAAAAAATGAATTTACTTAAGTTAAATTAGTGTTTCAACTTAATTTCGATAACATATCAAAATTAAGTTAAAGTATAATCAATTAAACTATTCGTTTTACTTTAAAGTTAAAACATTTTTTTTTTTTTTTTTTTCATGTAATAAAAAAAATGTTCAATTTGCACTTCATTTAAAACTTGATCAAATACTTGTTTAGTCAGGAATCTTGTTTTATGTTTTTTTTTTTTTTTATTTATCATTATGAAAGTTTACGTTTTTCATAAAATAAAAAACAAACAAAAAATCAGATGGGTGGTATTTTTTTGCCAATTCATTATTAAATAAATATTGTGTCACACAATATTTATTTAATAATGAATTGGCAAAAAAACAGTGTAGGGAAACATAAAAAAAGTCAAAGCATTGTCAATTATTCAGTCATTACTTCGTAAGAAAAAGTATTAATAAAAATAATAAATACAACACGAAAACCCCTTTTTTTATTTCAATTATGTATGTATTTATGTAGCTTTCTTTACATTTGAACACCTATTGGTTTAAAAAAAATCCCAGTACTCTGTTTAGATGTGATTTCTCCTTTCCCACCTATGGGGCAGATTAAAAAAAAATGCATTAAATCAGAAGATTGACGTATTCTCTATTTCTTTCTCTCTCCTTTTGTTGCAAGATGCGGGGACAGTGATGTTCTTTTATATTTTTTTTTACTTTGTGGTTAAGAGGAACTCATTCAGTATTTGCCATTAAATGGGGGCTGGCATCAGAATTATTGATTATGACTAGTGTCGATATCAGTGTTCACAAAACAACCATTTTCGTAAAGTAAGAAGGAAAAGGTTTATTCGTTGTTGTGTATTTGTTGCAAGAGATTCCGTGACCCACATAAACTTCATTGATCTAGAAATCTTAATGTTCGAATATTATTCGTAATATTTCAATAATGTTTAGTTTATATTCATCTTGGTAGTAGTAGTATGATACTTTAGGTATCATTATGAATGTTTATTTATTGGTACTGTTTTCCCAACTGTTAATATTTTCTTGTCCCATTTTCTTAAAAATGAAGAGACACACCCATCTTCCACGACTTTCACTTGGCAGTTGTGTGTGTGTGTTTTCCTATTTGTCATGAAAAGATTCTACTCAATGAGTTAGGTTAACCACCACACCAGTATCCTGCACTTAAAATTTGAAAAAAAAAAAATCCTTCATGGTATAAAAAAAACATCAGAAATTTCGCACTTTATTGCGAAATTTCTGATGTTTTTTTTTTACCCTTTTTTACCCTAAATTTGATTTAAAAAAAAAAAAAAAAATTTATAGACCAGGGTGAGTTTTAGAAATTAATGACTGACTATCATATAAATAAAGGATTAGATTTGAAAGAAAGAACTTACTTTTATTTGGGATTTTATTTTTCTATATATTCTTAATTTCCGTTTTTTTAAACTTGATTATTTTTGTAAAAACTAAACATCAAGAAGTGAATGGGATACAGTACACTTACCCACCACCAAAAAAATGTAGTGAAATGATTTTTAAACTTAAAACATTTTTGTCATAACTAATTATTATTAACTTGTGATTTACTAAATTTTTTTTTTTTTTATTGACTAATTAAAGAAAGATTAATGAAATTTTAACCTCACTGGCATGGCATTGTTTTGACACTATTTGTTTTGCACAAGTCCGTAAATTTCATTTTTTTTTTTTTTAATCCTTAATGATGAAAGTAGCCCTTTGGATGATGTTGAATTATTAATTTATTTTAAGTTAACTCTATGCATCTGGGGCTGGGATAATCAAATTAACCTTGACTTCCGTTCCGTGTGATGTAACTTGTCAGGAAATTTCTCTTCAATTTGAACAGGAAAGGAAAACCTCAAGTTGCAGCTTCTTATTGGAATGAATTTTTACACAATTTTTTAGTTTTTCCATTTGTTGTCCTTATTTGCTTTTTAAAAACGGTATTTTATATTTCATATCACATTCACTCTATCCTCTTGTTTTTTTTTTAACACATTTTTTTAGTTCTCCATCTTTTGAGAATTTTGAATTTGAAACCAACACCGTACTTTAATGAATGAATGTTCATTAAAAAGTTAAAATATTCGAATTTATAACTTCATATTCGTTTCAGATTATGAGTATGTGGGAATTGTTTAAAAATTTAAATATTTGTTTTGAGAGTGTATGTCATAAGACAGACGAAATCTACACGAGTTGCTACCTTTTTTTTTTTTTTTTAGAAAAAAAGAAAAAGTAAATATTTTTCCGACTAAATGGTTATTAAGAGAAGGTGTGGGGGGAATCAGCACCTCTCGCGAAATCGTTATTTTATAGTTGTCTACTCTTTTTGAAAGAAAATTTGAATGTACGTCGACTATTTTTTTTCGTTCATTCATTACCTAATGTAAATTAGTTTCTTTAAAGTCAAATCACTCCACACGTAATTATGAACTGAAAAGATATCATCTGAATTTTAACAATACTGTTTTTTTTTTTATGTTTTGGATAAAAAAATAATTCAGCAGTAACAAATGGTTCCTTCATTATGAAGTCCTCCTGAAACTAACATGAACTTTGAACTATATTTCTGAACGTCAAACAGCTGATTTCCTTTTCCTGCGTTAGATAGTTGTCAGCTTTTTTTTTTTCTCTTAATTTCATTACAAAAAATAGCTTTAAATTTCCTTGACGCATATTTTTCTTAGTTTAAATGTAATTTATCTGAGCTTATATCTTTCTTGCAGCGGCTGACATTCTGTGCAGACTTCAGTCGTATTAAAAAATATCAAGCTAAAAAATAAAATGAAATCCTATTTGTGAGCGCAATGGTAATCGCTTGAAATGGACGGGATATACAGAAGATAATTTTACGAGTTTGAATTTTTTTTAATGGCTAATATTAATGATCGATCAGAATCAGATCGTTCAGTTTTTACTTTTACATCTTTTTCTCTAATTTTTTAATTCTTCAACTTAAAAATCGTCATCCTAATTTTAAATCAAGATAATAGAATTTTTTATTTTCAATTTTCGTGAAATCCAAGCTTTTTTATATTCTTTTTTTCAATCTCAACAACAGAAGTAGTCAGATTTTCATTATTTCATTTTTTACACTTCTGACTGAAGTGTAATTTTTCAAGAATATTTGCTTTTAGTTTTATTTAATTGATTTTTATTGCATTGAAAAACTAAATGTTTCGTATGGTCATTTCTACGAAATATTTATTATTTTTATTTATTTGCTTAATATTTAATTTCATTCATTCCGTGCCCCTATCGAACGCACAGCAGAGTTGCATAGATATTGGGGGCAAATGATAGCAAGCATAAAAAATATGGGAAGAATCGATAAGTTTAAAAATGATTTTTTTTTTTTTTTTTTTTTTTTTTAAATTAAAAATGTTGTTCAGCTGACAGACCTCTTCTAAGGCTATTTTTCTCTTTTAGCATTGTTCATATCTTATATTTATGAAGCTTATTTAAAAGAATTTAAAACATAAATTGATAAAATTTTTAATAACAATCCATGTGTTTAAATAAAACGAAAAGAAAACTTCATTTTCATCGCGAAAATGAAGTTTTATTTTGGTTTCACTTTTATTTGTTTCTTTTTGTATTTTAAATTAATCCCTAAAAAGAGGGTTGCAAATTATTACAACTAAAAAAACTAAAAACTTAGAATGAAATAGTTCTCTTTATTTTTTTTTCTTATCGACAAGAACATGTGGATTTGGGTTTTAGGACGTCAAAAATAATGATGCCAATACTGCTGCTATTGACATGGTAAAATTGTCAGGGTTGATGGAGAGATTGAC